TTATACGTATACGGAAATGACAGCATGAAAAAATGACAAGAAGAACGTGTATTCCAAAGCATGGGAAGTCCTTAACATTCTATTTTATCCTATACTATACAATTATGGACTTCAGGTGAGGTCTGGACGAACCTTGTCTGAACAATTTTCACTGAGGCCAAAAGGATAGACCAAAACTGAAGTCCACAATTGTTTTATTATATGACATTTTACAATGAGAGTAATCAATTTTCATGTCATATACACATGGATGGCATGGAACATTTTTGAATGACAGAGTGAAGGACTTCAATTACAAAATAAAATACACAATTTCAGATTCAATTCATGTGATATTTAATTTCAAGTAAATATTATTTGCACAATTGACATCATCAATAGCATCACATAGTTCATAATTTGATGAGATATTCATTTGTAGTTGAATTCAATAGTGTGATTATTAACAGGTTTTCAGACTGGCTGGGAAATTACCTAAGCCTATTTCTAGTAGCGGTCTTTGGTTGGTTGGTTGGTTGGTTTATGGGTTTATCGCCTACATGACTCCACCATGACGGGTTTCGTCTCACTGACGGAGGACGGTGTAGTTCTGTTGGCGTTTAGTAGCGGTCTGTAACACTTTTCATTTCATAGGTCGAGGTCTGTAACACTTTTCTATTCATACGCCTGTAACAGATGATTTGAAAGGCTATTAATCTATAGCTGGGAAATTACCTAGGTCTGTTTTTAGTAGCGGCCTTTAACACTTTTTTATTTATAGGTCGAAACTGTAACACTATATTCATAAAGTGAGGTCTGTAACAGATTTTCAGACTCATCACATGATGTCACTGACTTCCAATTACGGTTTGGAATTAGCAACAGTCACATAATAAATGAGACTATTGCAAGACATGTTGTTTTCATGTGGGCCGAAACTTGAGTTTGTTAACTTGAATAGTCTGATAGAGCATAACGATGTGCTTGACAGTAGAAATTTAACAGTCTTGTGTATATATATACTGTGTATGATATATTGTACCTCTAAAACACATCTGCCAGCATGTACATACTTCACCTCAAAGTCATTGGAGAATATGTATGTTATGCTTTAATTATGGTAAAGTATTGACACTCAACTGCCAATTAAATATACAAGTTTAATGGTACTTGCAGGATACTTAATAATTCCATGAATTTACTTTTGAAATTTATCTTAATTGCAGTAAAATGGAGAGTTTTGATGACCTACTATCTGATGCCCCATCATTGTGTTTAGATTCGTTTAAACATGATGAGGATTCCATCGAACCTTTAAATCCACATGTTTCTAGCTGTGTACGGAAGATTGAATGTACATGTAAGTATCATATATATTATATCCATTATATATATAGGCCTAGGGTATTTAATTGTGTATAAATAAAGACTGGTTCATTTTTGGAGCAAAATGATAGGACTACATTTTGACTTTGTAATAAGATTCTTAAATGACTTCTTCTGAAGATTAATTAGGTCCAGAGTGATTACATTAGGTCAGTACATAGGTTGTGCCTGAAAACAAAATACCATATTCCATTTTATAAAAATGAAAAAATTCTTGAAATAGCGGCCATATTGGATTTATGCAAATTAGGCACACTTCCACTACTTGGATTTTTTCGGACTTTTCAGTAGCCATTTAGGGGACCTCACTGAAATGCATTGTAGTGGGGAAAAAAATATTGCAATTTGTTTGACGTTAACCTAAAAAATGCAATATCTTTCCTAGCCTATTAAGCTCACCTGGCCAGAAGGGCCAAGTTAAACCTTATGCTGTGGTGCAATGTCCGTCATCAGTCCGTCCATCATAAACTTTTTTATTTAAATAACCTCTTCTCAACCAATAGGCTTTGGATGATAATAGTTGGCCAGTAGCAAGCTAGGATAAAGTGCTACCAAGTTTGTTCATATGATTGACCTTCACTCATATTCTAGGTCACAGGAGTCAAATTTACTGAACATTTTTAACAACATCTTCTTCATAACCAGAAGGCCGAGAATGATGATATTTTGCTAATAACATGCTGGGATGAAGTGCTACCAAGTTTGTTCAAATGAATGACCACAACTAATATTCAAGGTCACAGGGGTTAATTGTCTAAAAACAAATTTCAAACTTCTCCAGAATACCCAAAAGGCCCAGACTGATGATATTTGGCCAGTAACATGCTGGGATGAAGGGCTACCAAGTTTGTTCAAATGAATGATCTGTTTTTATATTCAAGATCAAAGGGGTCAAATATGTTTAAAAGATTTCAACGACTTCTTCTGAATAACTTAAATAGGCCCATGATATGATGTTGATATTTGGCCGGTGATATGTTGGAATGAAGGGCTACAAAGTTTGTTCAAATGTATGACCTTGACATATACTCCAGGTCACATTTAGTCAAATATGTTAAAAATATTTAAACAATTTCTGATGAATAATCAAAAGGCCCATGCAGATGATATTTGGCCATTAATATGCTCAGATAAGAAACTTATGAGGAGTGTTCTAATCTTCACCCATATTCAAGGTCACAGTGGTCAAATGTGTTAAAAACTTAAAACATCTTCTTCTGAATAACCAAAATGCCTAGGGTGATGATATTTGGCCAGCGGCATGCGTGGATGAAGGGCTACCAACTTTGTTCAAACGAATGTCCTTGACGTTTATTCTAGGTCACAGGAATCAAATATGTTCAACATCTTTAAACGACTTCTTCTGAATAACCAAAACGTCCAGGGTGATGATATTTGGTCATTAGCATGCTTGGATAAAAGGCTACCAAGTTTATTCAAATGAATGACCTTGACATATATCTAAGGTCAAAGGGGTCAAATATGTTTAAAACTTTATATAACTTCTGATGAATAACCTTAAGGTCTAGAATGTGATATCTGGCCAGTTGCATGCTAGGATAAAGGGCTACCAACTTTGTTTAAGTGAATGACCTTGACTTATATTCAAAGTCACAGGGGTCAAATTTGTGTAAAATCTTTAAATAAATTCTTCTGAATGATCATAAGGCCCAGAATGTTGATATTTGGTAAGTAGCATGCTTGGATGAAAGACTATCAAGCTTTTTCATTTGAATGACCTTGACCCACTTTCATGGTCACATTTAGTCAAATATGTATAAAAATTTAAATGACCTAATCTTAATAACCAAAAGGTCTTGGGTGGTGATATTTTGCAAGTAACATGCTGAGATGAAGGTATATAAAGTTATTTCAACGTAATGACCTTGTTGTACTTTCAAGGTCACAAGGGTAAAATGTTTTAAAATCTTTAAACAGGTTCTTTTGAATGATTTATGGTCATAAACACTGATTGTTTACCTGTAGCTTTGTTTTAGATCACTTTTATGGTTACAAGTGTGACATAAAAACCAGGTGAGCGATGCAGGCCCATTGGGCCTCATGTCCAATAGATGTTATATAATTTTGCACTTCGGACCTTTTAGAACAGTTATATTCCCTTTACCTGACAAATCTTTTTCCAGCTATGTTTTTGCTCATTTTCAAATGATTTCTTTGAAACTTTTTGTGTAGTGGCAGTACCATGCAGAGGTGTCAACCCTTCCTCTTTTGGCCTAATCCTTACAGTTTTGAAATATAAAATATGCCTTATAATTTTGGCTATTTAAATTACTGTATGATTTTGTCTTATTTTGCGATTCCGGAAATTTCTGCCCGTTTTCTGCCTCATTTCATTATAATATCCTGTTCACAGTATTCTCTGTGTTTTGAATAAACCAAGAAACTGACGCATATATGTGACTGTGATCACACCTCCTCTTTCTGAAGTGGGAAAATGGCGGGAAAATGTGCTCTCCACGAGAAAGATAAAATAGATAGTTTGGGTAGCCAACCCCAAAAAATTAAAAACAACAGGATCAAAAACTTACACCAGAATACAGACACTTTCATAGTCATTATACAATTCACGTGCACGTGTATGCTTGCCACCCCCCTTGGTGACAGCTCAGTTTTACTGCCGAATACAGGGTGTTTCCCCAGCTAAAAAATTGTGTATTTTCCCAAAATGACAAAAAAAGGAACAGGCTGTTGTAAAATTTAGGTAACAGAAACACTGGTGACTTAAGAAAAATCTTACAAGCATTTTCTTCTAAATAACCAAAAGGCCTACGACGATGATATATCGCCAGGGCATTCAGGGCTACAGAACTAACTTTTTTTCAAATCAATTTCCTTAATCAACTTTCAAGGCCACTTGGGTCAAATGTGTTAAATTCATTAAACAATTTCTTCTCAAAATGCCCAGGGTGATATCTTGCCAGAAGCATGCTAGGATGAGGGGCAATCAAGTACTTTAAAATAAATGGCAGTGAAACCTCTTTTGTGACCATAGGGGTCAAATGTATTAAAGTTTTAAAACATCTTCTCAACAACTAAATTGCCCAGAGCTATGATATTTAAGCAAACATGATGGGATAAAAGCTACCATGTTGTGCAAATGAAAGTCCTTGACTCTCTTTGAAGGTCATTCTGGTCAAATGTTTGAAAAATCTTTTAAGTAACTTCATGTGAATAATCAAAAGTTCCAGGGTTATATTAATATCTAGCCAGTAGCATGCTGGGATGAAGGGCTACCATATTTGTTCAAAGGAATGACCTTCAGAATGATCAATGTCACAGGAGTCAAATGTGTTTAAATCTTAAACAAGTTCTCCTCAATAACAAAAACGCCCAGGATGCTGATATTAACCAGTTGCCAACAGTGATGAGGTGCCTTTCTTTTTTGGTCACATGTGTCAATCAAGAGTAAAAGTTGAAAAAATTAAAGGGTCACCAAAATTTTAAATTTGAGCTAGATAGCAATATTGTGTCTGTTCCTTGTTGGGATAACAAGCATGCTGTCAAATGATTTTTTTTCTCCAAGTAAATTAACTTGACAACTTAAAACATGTATAAAAATAATAAATAAAGTTAATTTTTTCGTCAAAGACACTTGAGTTGTAGAGTAATGATATTAGACATCTCCCATTTTGCCTGACACGGACCACCAACACCGACTTCGAACTTAGGGGGATGTCTCGAAACACATCATTTGAATGAAATGGCTAAACATACAAGCAACTTTTCCTTCTCTCAGTTGTATTATTTTGTTCGACTAAATGTATCCAAACAATCTGACTCGGCAAACAGCCAAAGCGGCACCAACGAGGATGACGCCAGGGGGTATGTACCTATTTTCATCTGTCGTATCGCATGTTCTACTCGGACCCGGTGTGCGCACATGATTACATTTAGTTTCAAGTGTTTTCTGCGAAGTCACATGATCAGCGAACTCGGCTCCACAAGCGTCTTCGTCACAGGGAACGGAACCTGTTTCTAAGGCTAGCCCGTCCGGACAAATGACATGGAAGAGAGCAACGTTGGCGATGTCGCTGTCCTCGGACGATGATTTAGAACCGCCTGCAGCTGTGGCGAAGAGGCCAAAGAAAAAACTGGCGGACAAGAAAAAAGAATTGTTGTCGGAATTATTACTAAAAAAGCAGAAAGCATATAATAAATTTATAACCAAAAATATCCCTAAAGATGTTTGGTGTTTCGGACAGACACCGATTCTGAATTAATTCCAAATTTGCCAGCAATGAAATTATAATAATAAATAATAATATACAGCATTTATATAGCGCCCTATATAATTTGTAAAATTTCTCTTAGGCGCTTTACAACATATGGATAACAGTAATGGTTATAATTGTGGAAACAAACAACAAAGACTTGCAATTACTTTCATACATTTAACAAGCAATGTGCACATAATTGAACAAATAAAAGGGTGGTATTTACATGACGTCTTTGCAAAGATTCTTAAATGCAGACGTGAAGAGGTAAGTTTTTATGTCCCTCTTGAACTTGGCCAGGGTATTTGGCTACCTAATAGCAGATGGTAAGCTATTCCACAACGTAGCCGAAACCCTCCCAAAGCATCTGTTTCCGTAGGTCACAGTACGAGATTTTGGGACACACAACAAAGATTCTGACTCCAACCGCAGTGATCTTGACGGCTGATACAGGGTAACAAGTTCCTGTAGGTACTGAGGAGCTGTTCCATTCAGTGCCTTGTATGTGTATACCAGAATTTTGTACTGCGACCTGTATCGTACAGGTAACCAGTGCAACGAATAAAGCGCAGGTGTGATGTGCTCTCTCTTTCGAGTACGAGTAACTAGCCGTGCTGCAGTGTTCTGAACCCTCTGCAGACGACTAGTTAGTTTGTCAGATATACCACAGAGCAGGGCGTTACCATAATCCAACCGAGAGGTAACAAGTGAATGCACCAAAATCTTGCATGCATCTGCAGTTAGAAACTGCCGAATACAGCCGATGTTCCTGATCTGGTAGTAACAGGATTTGGCAAT